TGAGACCTGCCCCCTTTTCAAAGGGTGTCTCATTCCTAATGCACACAAAAGGAAGCTTCAATGGCTGATGGGGAAATGGAACCTGGGTCTCTCCACTCCAAGCCCAGAACCTTCAGCCACTAGACCAGACTGCCTCTATCTGTCTCTCTGCCTGGCCACATACCTTGCCTTGCATCTGGAAGGACACAGGGCCCCTGGGTTTTTCCTATAGGAATAGGAAAGGGGAGCATGATGTTCATAAGCAAATCGTCATCATCACCAACCTCAGCATCATTATCATCATCCTGAATCCTTACTGGAGCAATATTAAGCTAATCAGATGGTGGCAATATTGATAATAAGCTTTAGCTTTGGAGCAGCCTAATACATATTGCTATTTACGTGGATTTTGGACTTTTTCTCCACCAACAAACAGACCTTTCTATAGTTTGCCAGAAATTCCCAGTTAGTTGTTGGGAAATCATTGACTTTCTGTATTAGATAAAGGTCTGTTTTCCCCAACTGGGTGATTGGTATTTAATGGAGTACAATTCCCATTATCCCCAGCCAGCAAGATGTTTTAAGTCATTACATCGATATTAGAACTGGTTCAAAAGTTCCTCGGCCGTGGAAGTTCGCTGGGTGGCTATGGGTCACTTGAGTCTACTGCCCTGCTGCATTGTGTTATCCTCCTTACATCTAGCCAGTAAAGAAGCAGGCTGACCAGCCTTCCAAACGGGCATCTTGTCTTTTCCGCAGGCAGCTACGTCCGCAAAGCTGTGAATGTATCCTTGGGGGCGCTGATCATCTTCCTCAGCGTTCCAGTGGTTCTCAATCTGTTTAGCGCCCAGCAAATCATGAATACCTCCTACAACCCCCTCAGGATCGTCAACACATATGGAGCATTTGGAAGGTAAGACTCTCAGGATCTGAAGAGCATCTGCCCTGGGTGTTCTTGGCCTCTCTTTGAGCAGTGCCACTGCACTTTGCAAGGGGGAAAAGCGGTACCAAAAATGCATTTAAGGGCCTTTTCAGGTCAGGAGAACATCTCTGATCACATGAACATTCCAGGAAGTGCATTGGAGGAAGCACTTCCCATTCTGTGTAGAGTTGTTTCTGCAGAAGAACATCCTCCCTCATTTGCACTCTGAATTAATTATTATCTGTTGCATGTGCCTTTCGGATTAATCTGCTCTGGGCTGGTCCTACGGTAGGATGTATTTCAGAGATAAAAGAACCAGCTTTGAAGAGCCATCACCTGCATATCAGATGCTTGCAACTCTTTTAAGTGCAAGGCAGAAATAGAATCATGGTGTTTGGAGGATGGACCTGGTGAACCTCAGCTTCAAAGCAAAGCAAAAGACAAGGTTCTAGGCCTCAGGGCCACAAAGTAATGTACGCAGGTGAACATTGGCTGCAGAAACCCAGGAAGTGGGGGGAGAGCTGGAATCCAGGAACGGTAAAGTAATTGTGGCTGGCAGCAGTGGGAAAACAGGCTAAACGGTATGGTCCTGAAAGCTTTTTGTCCCTCCTTGTAG